GTGTGTGTGTGTGTGTGTGTGTGTGTGTGTGTGTGTGTGTGACACCCCCAGCATCGGTTGGTTCATGATCCTGGTAGAGGGCTGTATCTTGGAAGCGACAAGGAGTGTGTGTCTATAGCCAGCCAGCCCCACCGAGGTTTCAGACAGGAAGCAGCAGAATGGGGATAACAAGAGAGGCGAGACGGAGGCAAGGAACCTGCTAACAAGCTGGTACTGAAGACGGCCAGGGCTCCACGGGGCCTGCAGCAGGCAGGGTCAACGTGACAGACAGCAGAGCGGAGAGGGCCAGGCTGCACTGAAGGACACTTAGCCTGCGTGCTTCCTGACCCTGATCGTGAGTGGTGCGGGCCTCGCCCTGACAAACCGTGCCCTCTGCGAGCCCTGTGTGGCCAGTGCAACAGACGACCACAGCCAGGAGCGAAACCGAGCGCAGGGGAGCGGCAGCTGGTGTCAGAACTGGTAGAGAGGCCAGCCGGGCATTAGAGGCCCGATGCTGGTCCTGATCTCCGGAAGGTGGACGGGACCTACTGCTACCGCTACCTGGGTCTGAGAGCCATCAGGGACCTGTCCAGACCCAAACCTGCATGCACACACTTATTTACCTGCCAGGGGTAAAAAAGAGGGGTCTGGTCCAAGGGGACCCTCAAAGGAGCAACGATGACCAGCTCGAACAGGAGCCCCAGGAGGAGGGGGACGACGCCCGCCAGCAGCAGCGCGACGACCAGGGTCTTCATGATCTGTCGGGCAGGAAGCCTGTCAACAGCGTGCTCGCAGCCAAACTCGAGTCCCAAGAGTTCCCACCCACCTCCACCCCGAGAACAAATCCATACACTCAAACGGGGTTTCTGTGTCTATGGCTGCAGAGACTCGGAGTCTAACCGAGGCCTGAACCCCCATGTGCCACAGGGCCATCGCATGGCACCTCCCACCAGGGCCTGGACAAGCTGTCTGGGGGGCCCTCACTCTGACTCACTGTCCGCAGGGTAGCCACCAGCTCAGGGCAGTACAGTGAGCACAGGTCTGGGCAGACAGCCACCCTCAGCGTGGCCTGGCCCCTGCACCTCACAGCCACCCCCTTCCTAAGAGGCACTTGCACAAGCTCGGGTCTTTCACCAGCAAGAGACCTACAAGAAGGACGCCACTGGCTCCGTCCCCCGACTACAAGCAGGCGCCTCATTTTCTGAGCAGCTGCAGCGACACGGGCCTCCCTCTGTGCGGGGCCAACAATAACAGCGGCTGCCTCCTTTTGACCCTGGTACCAGGCAGGTGGTGACACCTGCAGTGACGTCATACACAAGCAAACGCCTACACTTTAACCTGGTTCTACTGTGGAGCTGTCCAGGAGACGCTGAGTCGTTTTTCTTCTGAAAAGGGGGTGGGGACCAAGTAACTTTGGGGATCTATGGCCTAGATGCACGTGGGCCACGAGGAACCAGGGTCGGGTCGACACACCAGGGACCAGGGCTGACACTAAGAGGGGCAGGGGCCAGCCAACATGAGGGATGGAAGCCTACCATGAGAGACCACTCCTTGACCTTCTGGAAGATTACTCTGCGCCCCTGCGGCGTCCACGCCAGCAGCACAGTCACGGCCCTGATGGTCAGCCAGCAGACATAGAGGCCGCACGCCGCTGTGTAGAGCTCGTGGATCTTGGCGGTCCCCGTCCAAAAGGACATCAGCCAGCGGCCAGCAAACACTGGAAGCAGAAGGCGGCGGGCGATGAGGCGTGCGGGGGGGAGACCCGGCGCTGGTCACATCGAGGGGCGACCCATGTGACGGAGAGCACCTGCCTCCTCAGGACCGTGTCTGGAGGAGAACGGTTTCTTTAAATCAGCCGCAGCTCACAGCCAGAACACACCACCGTCACTTTCCTTGGGGCAAAAGTTAGAGCGACTGAGCATGCTGGGCTTCAGCGGCATTGCTGTGAGCACTCAGGGTGGCCTCTGGGAGCTCGTGACCATGGCCATGTCCTCCTGCAGCCACACCCACGGCCGGTGCTGCTCCGTCAGGCACCGAGGGGACTCCAAGGCAGCTCAGTTGAGGGGTGCTTCTGAACTGGCCAGCCCACTGGGTCGTTGGGGTGGACACTCACACACAGCACAGGCTCCTGCCTCCCTGCTCACATGGGAGCTGACATCTACATGGGGACAGGTGCACAGCCCCACTGGCAAGTCGCGGCGTGGCGACCACAGGCCGCGTCAGCTAACTGTGGAGTCTGCTTCAGAAGACACCAGCGTGGAACAGGAAGCGAGCTTGCTGCAGTGACACGTGAAGGTATCAGTCAGATAAGGCACAGACGAGTCTCCACGTCTGCCCCGAATGTCACTCTGAGAGGCCAGTTTAGACTTCAGCTTGCCTGTGTGAGTGGGGTCGGGTGGGGTGTGTACAAAGGGGCTCCGGGTCCCAGTTATGCTGAACACCTGGGCTCACCACTAGATGGCAGTCAGCACTTCACAGGCCTCTAAGCTACTCTGCCTGCCAAATTCAGGTTCAGATCCAAGTTTCCTTCTTTCCTGAACTTAGTATTCCTGATAGAAACTCAAATGAAGATGGAAGCTAACCTTGTCAAAGCGTCTAGAGTCCAGAAACTGTCTGTGTACCAGACACAGCCCTCGGTGGTGGGGCTAGATTCGTCCTCTTCACAGCGGAACTTGAGGGACAGCGCTCAAGAGTCAAACTGCAACATCGGCTCATCACTCCTCAGTCTCCATGTAGTTAGGAAATACTCTATTTGCTCGGTCCCTCCCTTGAAATCACTCTCCCATTCTCCACTTGGGGAGGGACCGCATGTGACCGACACAGCATGAAAGCCCCCACTGCCCTGCTCTGGGAAGAGCCCCTCAGCGACAGCACCGGGACTCCAACCCCAGACGAGGTCAGGGCTGCTGGTGCTCTGCCCCTGGCTCTGGGCACCACCTGTGTCGCCGTCCTCTGCTCTCCCCGGCGGGAGGCAGGTGTGGCGTCCATCCATGCCTCGTGGCAGTGTGATGGGGAAAGGCTGCCAACAACTGGTCAGGACAAGGGGCAGGGTCCCTGGTCAGTCTGAGGGTGAAAGACAGCCACTCTGTAGGGAGGGCAAACATCTGAGGCCACACGGTGAGTGTGAGCACAGTGCCTGGGGACACAAGCCAGTGACACCTGACTGTCCTTTCTGCTCCCAACAGGGTGGTGAGCCCAAGGTGGGGCAAGAGCCCCGTGTGGGCAAAATGGAACGGGAAGGGAGTGGAGGGGGTGCAGACCGCGGAAGGCACCTACCTGGGAGGGTAAGGCAGACGAGGCTGGCGAGCAGCAGGGTCACGCACATGCAGACAATCAGCAGGAAGATCTGCGGGGCAGGAGGGGCGTCACCACATGTCTCTACCCGCTCAACCCCTGGGCAGCCACCTGTGCCTCCTGGTCACGTGGGAAGGCCATGTGGAGGAGAAGGTGCCTGGAACCTAAGTCCAAAGGAAGAAGCACCCATTCCCGCCAAGCCCAGCGCACTAGGAGGGACCAGCACATGTGTTCGCACGGGCATGAAGCCACTTCTGAGAGAGGCAGCCAACAGCTCCGGAGAAGCAGCACGCTCTCAGGCCCAGGTCTCCCTGTATTTTCTTCCCAGAGGAGTCAAAGTCAAGTCACAGACAGACAGACAGATGAGCCTTTATCAACGGCTTGAAAACAAGGGAACAAAGATGGCACTGACCGAGTGACTAAGATCTATCTGCCTCCGGGGCCTCAGCCAGCACCCACCATGTGCCCCCACCCCCACCCCAGCATGTGGCCGAGGAAGTGGAGTGGCCAGCTGGTGGGGGCAGCACCAGGGGTGCAGGTGGAAAGGAGACAGGGCTCTGGGAGGGACACGAGAGCTGTCATCACCGGGAGCTTTGCAGGTGACAAGCTGAGATGGCTCGTTTCTTCCTGACCCTGGGCTTTGGGGGTGGGAGAGCTGGGCAAAGGGGGCATGGAAAGGGGAAGGGGCCAGGTTCTGCTCCCATGGCCATCAAGAAGAGCCAGGAGCAGAGTGTGTCCTTTGGACATGGGTTCCTATCCCAAGAGACAGAGTCTAACACAGAGGCTGCCTGTGGCCAGCAGGCACACCAGGAGCACCCAGCCAGAGTGGGAGAGCCCAGCCCCTTGCTCAGGTGTCCTGGTGCAGTGGGGGGGGTCTGCAGGCACTTGTGAGTGGAGTGGGGGCCGTGGGTAGGTGGGGTAGAGCTAGAGCAGCCTGTCCTTTGGAGCCCGGTGTGGGCATATGCTCTGGGCGCAGACTCATCTGGGGTCTGGGGCTACTGCAGCACAGCCTGGGGCCCAGTCGAGGAGAGGAGGGAGGGGCAGGTATGTGTGTGCGTGTGTGTGTGGGGGGGCGTCAGTCTCGGAGGAAAGCAGATCTGGCTGATGCTGGTCTTCACTCTCTTGCCTCTTGAAGCAAACAGGGATCTGACCTGAGGGGCAGGTGGAGTCCATCCACGTTCCTGTGACAAGTTCTGGCGCCCAGGCCACCAGGGGAGGTGGCAGAGGATGGGGACCAGCAGTGGAGGGAGGCGGTCTCACCGTGTGAGAGGCTCACTCATGGGGCTGTGGTCCCTGGGCAGCAGGGGTGCAGGGAGCCAGATCTTAGGCGAGCCCTCGGGGCCCATAGGACTGAGCATGCTCAGAACTCCCAGTGACAGCGGGCAGACCTACCCTGAGTGGGAAGTTGAGGGGCCGGCGGTAGGGCTGGAAGCCAACAGGCCCGCCTTGCTGCAGGATGGCCTGGTGGGCGGCGTGCAGCCCCTCCCCGCCCACGGGAACAGCATTGTTGCGCGCGTGCTGGTTGTGGTTCCCCGGCGGGTTGGCGCTGTGCTCACTCTCCTCCTGGTCCCCCAAAAGGTAGGAGTGCAGGTCCCTGTGTGGGGCGACAGGGGAGGCTACTCCATGTACCTGCAGTGCTGACTCGGGGGCACAAGGCAGAGACTGCATGCAGGGCAGGTTTCGGCGGGCACGAAGGCTTCCAAGAGGACCGTATAACAGGTGACATAGTGGTTATGTACTGGGCTGCCAATCACGAGGTCAGCAGTTTTAAACTGCCAGCGACTCCATGAGAGGAAGACAGGCAGAATCACGGTCTCAGAAGGACACAGACAGTTTTGGCCTGTCATCTACAGCCACCAGGACACTCCCCAGAACAACTGTCTCCTTGATGGGATTCAGTCAGTGTCAGGGAGGGTCAATGGAAACCTCACCCCACCCCCCCACCCCCACCACACAGACGGCTGCCCTGCAGAGCCACCCAGGCACTCGGCAGATGGCCAGATGGACAATCAGACACAAAAGAGGCTACCACTCCATAGAAAGAGTAGCTTTAAACTTATATGAGAAGAGTGTGGCTGGGAAGGTGAACGAGGGCAGCTGGTCAGCACAGGGGCAGCTGGGAGAGAGAGAGCAGAGTTCCAGGGCCACACGTACAGCTGGGGACAGGGAGAAGAGTCTGGGCTGGCACAGTCCTCCATGACCAGGGCCACAGATGCCAACTATCCACCAAGTGGCAGACTTTCCTTCCCTCCTGCCTGTGCCCAGGGGCAGTGGGCAGTGGCGGGCTTCCCTGTGGGGTGGGCAGTGGCACTTACAGTGAGTGGCCAGCAGCAACCGTCCAGGCCCGCACGAGGCCCTTGAGCCACTGCCGGGTGTGGCCCTGCTCCAGCAGTGCCGGCAGGATCACCTGCAGCAGCAGCAGCTCCAGCGACAGCTCGCTCACGGGGGCGTCACTAGGGTCAACCCCGACACAGAAGGTGAGCTGGTGTGTGCCGAGCCTCCCTCCCTGGGCGCACACGCCCTCACTGGGCGGGGCCGCGCACCTGTACAGCATGACGTTGTAGGGCAGGAAGCGGGGCAGCAGGCTCTTGATGATGCGTACGGGCAGCCAGAGCATCAGCAGCACAATGGAGCCAAAGACAATCTGTGTGCACGGGGGTGGGGGTGGAGAGGAGAGACACATGACACGAGACATGGGTGAACCCCCACCCCCCTCCATACACTAAGCCCAGGGTCCCTGGGAATAAAGGACCCTGGACGGCCGCTCACCACGGACAGGATGAACCTGCGCAGATGCCGGTGGATGGGCAGGTGGATCATCTCCTGCACAGGGTTGAAGTCTGGGTCATTCAGGTTCCTCAGAAACCATAGGACCCCGGGCCGCAGAACCTGCAGGAGGGAGGGCATGCCGTGGACACGTCAGGCCCCGGATGAGGAGTGCGGACAGTGTGAGAGGACTTTCTCGCAGACACTCGGCACTGAGAACAGGGCCCAGAGAGCCCACAGGGTTTCCTGGGAAAAAAGTAGTCCCTGACCTGGACTCCTTGGGAATGCTGCCTTGGGGCAGGCGGTGCTTCTAACCACGGGGAGCACATGTCCCAGGCCCAGTGGGCAGGGCTTCCCCAAGGCAAGAGATTAACTCGGAGAGTGTCTTTCCCCAGCAATTAGGCTCCGAGGGGCTGCCTGGCCCGGTGCCTGGA